TTTTTTCTTGGTCTAGCCCAAGCAGACGTTTTTGATGCTCTGGATGCTCGTTTTTTGCCATAGATGCTTGTTTTGATGCTTTCGATGCTCTTTTTTGCCTTTGATGCTACTTTTTTTTGGCTCTGGATGTTCGTTTTTCGGCTCCATGCGGGACTCATGTTGACTCATGTAGGACTCATGTTGGGCTCAGTTGTTGTTTTTTTTGCGCTCTGTATGCCCCTTTGGGCCACGGTGCGGGCATGAGTCCCACATGAGTCCCACATGAGTCCACATGAGTCCCACATGAGTCCCACATGAGTCCACATGAGTCCCACACGAGTCCACATGAGTCCCACATGAGTCCACATGAGTCCCATATGAGTCCCACATGAGCCCACATGAGTGTTACATGAGTCCACATGAGTCCCACATGAGTCCACATGAGTGTTACATGAGTCCCACATGAGTGAAGGCTCCTCTCACGGCGGCGCCGTGGGCCCGGGATTGAAATCTCTAAGCTGCCGCACCGCTAAAGGTACCGGCCGGCGAGTCAGCCGTGCTTTAGGCTCCGCGGAGCCGCGAGGCACCGGGAGCACATGCTTCATGCAGCAGAGTCTCCGAACCGTCGGTGGCCCGCACCGTCATCGAGTCGTAACTCGAAACCTCCCGCACCGCCCCGTACTGGGGCTGGAAGGACCTTTGCGCATTGGTGGGGGCCCGGAACGCCCCCGCCTCCTCGAGCCGCCGCTGACGGCTCCTCGTGAGCTCGTCGTTGTGCTTGAACTTCGCTGCATTGTCTTGATAGACCCGGAAGCTCGCGGCCGGCATCGTCTCCACGTCCTCGGGGGCCACCGTCACCGCGGCATGCGGGCGGGCGTTGTACGCCTCAGCCGCCTCTTCCACATGGTCGCCCCACCCGCCGCCCTCCCGAGCCACCTTGCCCGCCAGGTCCTTCTTTAGCGTTTGGATCGCGCGGTCCACCACCGCCGTGGCATTCCGGTCCGAGGGGTCCTTCTGCCGGTGCACCGCCCCTCCGGGCAGGGCCGCCTCCAGGCCCCGAGATTCGTTGCCCATGTCCGTGCATGATGCTGCTTTCATCCTGCACCAGCTTGCGGATGGTCTCCGCCGCCGCCTGCGTCACTGTCTCCGCCCGCTTGTCGGGCAGGGCCTTCGTGGCCACCTCCCGGGTGAAGACGTCTTGGACCACCAGCCCGTACTTGTTGGCCCCCCGAGTGTTCTGGCTGAAGTCGATCAAGTCCGCCTGCAATCTATCGTTCGGTCCCTCCGCCGCCGATTTGCCCAGGCTCCGGGGCTTCGGTGCGAGCACCTGCCTCGCCACATCGCCGCGCAATGCCGCCTGCGCCCGCGCGCTCGTTAGGTCCCGCCGCTCGGAGGGTCCCGCACGTTGAAGTCCCGGGCCAGCCGCCCGAGCAGCTCCATCGCGCCGTCCTCCGCCATTTCTTAGTCCGAGTCGCCCTTGCGGCCCTTCTTCTTCTCCAGTTTCTCGATCCGCTTCTGCAGCCTCTTGCAGGTTTGCCACAGTTTCGCCACCGCGCTGCATGATGAGAGCCTGGGACAGACAATACACAACACTTAAAGGGCTTTGGGTTTTGAGTCCGGTTTTGAGGCTTTGAGATCCGTTTCGTGGTCGAGGGTACGAGAAGCTTCTCGACACGAATCACCCTTGCGGCGCCTTGACCAAGCGATCCAACTCGCTCACACGGGCGTCGAGAAGCGGAACAGGCGAGACGCTCGCCTGCCGTCATCATATCCGTTAGAGAGAAGCGAGCGAGCGAGCAACCGTGGGAAATAGGGTGGATCAATGCACGAGTGGGCGAAGTGAAAAACTTGCATGGTACATGTTGCTTTCATGCGCAAGGCAAAAGCTGCCCAAAGCCGACACGCCCACTTTTGGTCACAGCAACCCACATCATGGCCTCCAGTTCGGCGAACCGCTCGTTGATCCGGTCCAGAATTTCGACATCATTGAGCTCACCTTGCCCATGTCATGTGAGCCCCACGCTGAGCAGCAACCTTCTCCCAACGCAGAAACTGTCAAGGGTTGAAAGACGTCTTAGACAGCAGCATGGACAGAGTCTCTTCCCAACGGGGTGCTACAGCTTCAAATCGCTTTCTGCCAAGAAGCAACATTGAAGATGCAGTTTGCAACAGTGTCAAAATATCGCAGTAGGCGTCGCGACCGACATATGCTCTTTGAACATCCACTACTCCAATCTGCACCCGCCCATGAAGTGCCACAAAAGTTCAGCAGTTCAGTACGCAGCACTAGTCACTAGGACACAG